GTTCTTGTTCTTTATGAGAAGTGGTTTTATTTAATTTTAACAAAGGCATGTTGTGTGTCACCGCAGCTAAATCGGTGTCTATCATGATAAAACCTTAATATTAAACCTGTATAATGAGTTTGGAAATTTTATATGGTTGCCTAGCATATATGTCAGCATCAGAATCAAACCTTAAAAAAAATTGATGTGGAACAGGCACTTCGGATTTGTACTAGAGCACTGGTCTCAAACTCAATTCCTGGAGGGCCACAGCTCTGCACAGTTTAGCTCCAACCCTAATCAAGCACACCTGATCCAGCTAATCAAGGTCTTCAGGATCACTAGAAACTTCTAAGCAGGTGTGATTTGGAGCTGGTTGGAGCGAAGAATCATACAAACTGGGACATATTAAATAATAATGAATGCCCTTATAAATAAAGCATAATTGATCTACATTTGGCTTTATTGAAGACATCTAAACTGACGTTTAGAGCAGTTAACATGTCTCGCCGGGATGTCGGGGGAGCATGTGATAAGTCATAACGTAAAAGAATCACTGAATCGAAAGAACCGATTCGCCGAAATGAGTCGAACTTGCTGTCACCAGGGTCAGCGAATGAGCTGATAGGGGGCAGTAATCGTTCTCTTTCTCCAGGAACAGCAGCAGCTAAAGAAGAGCGCTCGCAACGTCGTTTGATGACGTTTCACGAGTAACGTCAGAGGAAGTTATTCCAGTAAATTCGCGTCAATTATTACAGTTTTGGGTGGATAGGAAATGCAAAGGCACAAAACGCAAGCCTCAGCCAGCTCCAAGTAAGCCCCATTGTGGCACTATCAGCTGTGCCACCTTGGAAATTCATAAAGCCATCATACGTGGAAAATCGGATTCAAGACAAGATATATTAATAGAAATTTTACAAAATCTGTATAGAATTTGCCAAATGAGACTTTTAGCAGAAAGGAAGATACGGTAATTTCTCGTCTGAGAATTGGTCATTCTGCCCTCGACAAATCACTTCAAATGATAGGGAAACATGGTTCTGGTCAGTGCAATAAATGTGGACTTCCAGAAACTATAGAGCATGTAATAATCAATTGTATGGCATATGAAAGGGAAAGAATTAAATTAAAAACTATTTAATTTCTGTTGGCATAAATTCTTTAACTTTGCAGAATATACTTAACAGTTCTTACAAAGGATATGAAGCTCTTGTTTGTTTGTTTTTGAAAGCAACAAAGTTATATAGAAAAATATAGAATTTTCCCGTTATTTTATTATTATTATTTTTCTGTCTCTTCTGATATCAACGCCTCACACTCCATCCCAGTAGGTGGCGGAATATGCACCTAAGCTGGTTTGCCAACCGCCATTAAACGTCAAAGAAGAAGAAGTCAGCTTGTGTTCAGGAGAGGAAGCAATGGTTTCCTCACGCTCGCATTTCAGAAGCTGACGGTCCTAAGATTGAGGATTTGTTTCCCTGTGTCAATCTGTAAGTGTTCACTGTTCATTTTGTAATGTGTTATGTTTGTTGGAATGTAATTAGCTTGTAACGGTGTATATAGATTGTTTGGAGGTGCATGCTAATAGTAGCACGGTATTTGTTTTTTGATAGATGGACCTTTTATGACTAATAGACTTTTATAGTCATGAAACGGAGTCATGTGGAACTGTTTCCAGCACGGTCTTTGGAATTGTGAACGTCTTGCGTGTTAAGCATATGCTTTTACACAGTTGACTCTCACGTGTGCTTTGTGGATATTAACATCTATCAGGCTCTTTTAAGAGCAGCGTTAGATTATGGTTGCCTAGCATATATGTCAGCATCAGAATCAAACCTTAAAAAACTTGATGTGGAACAGGCACAGGCACTTCGGATTTGTACTAGAGCGTTTAAATCATCACCGGTATCTGCGTTACAAGTTGAGACAGGAGAGATGCCTTTACGTATTAGGAGGATCAAGATCATGCTGGCGTATTGGATAAATCTACAAGGGCATAGCGGAGTACATCCCACAAAGGCCATCTTACAAGATTGTTCAGAACATAGTAAAAGTAATTATTACAGTTTCGGATGGATAGGAAATGCAAAAGCACAAAACGCAAGCCTCAGCCAGCTCCAAGTAAGCCCCATTGTGGCACTATCAACTGTGTACCACCTTGGAAATTCATAAAGCCATCTGTAGATATAAGCCTTCAACAAATGTTAAAAGAAAAATCTAAAATAATGCCACAGAGGATAATAGTTCAAAACTATATGGACCTTTATCAAGACAAACTATTCATATTTACAGATGGATCAAAGCAGCCAGAGACCGGCCGTACTGGGGCTGCTTTCTTCATTTCACATTATGAAATAGCAGTTAAAAAAAGAACAGCAGATCATTTATCGGTGTACACAGTAGAGCTTTTAGCAATTTTATTGGCATTACAGTGGTTGGAAGGAAATAAACAGAACCAAAATGTAATCATAGCTTCTGACAGCTTATCTGCTCTATCTAGTATTCAATCTGGGAAAACATCATGTAGACAAGATATCATATACCAGATATTCAACTTGCTTTTAATACTGTATGATAAAGGGCTGGATGTTTCCTTCCTTTGGGTTCCTGCTCATGTAGGGGTGGAAGGAAATTAGATTGTAGATATTCTAGCAAGAGGAGCAATAAAGCATGAAACAGTTGATATACAAATACCGTTATGTAGAACAGAAATCAAAACCATTATTAAGGGACATACAAACAAAACATGACAAGAATACTGGGACATAACTGATACTGGACGACATCTGTATAACATACAAAAACAAGTAGGCTTAAATAGTATCAGGCAGAGCAGGAATCCAAAGGAAGGAAAGATAATTACACGTCTTAGAATAGGTCATGCTGGTTTAAATCTTACATTACAGAGAATAGGGAAACACCCCACTGGTCTTTGCAACCACTGCAACACACAAGAGACAGTAAAACATATTTTATTAGACTGTAAAAGGTATGAAGAAGAAAGAAGGGAGTTAGAATCACAAGTTGGAAAACAAAACATGACAGTGGGAAATCTGCTAGGGAAAACAATGTCTAGGGAAATATATAATCTCCTAATGAATTATTTGAAAAATACTGGGATAAGTGAAAGAATTTAATAGAAATATATAGGGGGAAAAAAAATATATATATATTTTTTCTCTCCTTGTCCTTTCTTTCAAAGTACTGCCAAAGTACACTCCAGTCCAGTAGGTGGCGGTAAATGCACCTTTAAGTTGGTTTGCCAACCGCCAATAAAATTAAAAGAAGAAGAGCGCTTGCAACGTCATGTGACGACGCTTCATGAGTAACGTCAGAGGAAGTTATTCCAGTAAATTCGCGTTAATTTACAAGTTAAAATCACAGAAGCCTTATCCACTCGAGCGTTAAAACAGAGCAGTTTCTAATCAAAGCGGCAACCTTTTTACCCACCACCATGATGATGATGATGATGGACGAGGACCAGCCCAGGACATTGTAAGTGCTGCTGTAGTTTAGTCGGCCACTTTACGAAGCCAATCTCGTGTTTAAACACGTTTAGTTAAGCGGCGCCCAGGTCGCAAGCGCAGCAATCCAAACTTCAGATAATCAGCTCGAGAGTACGTTAAGTCCTTTAATTACTCTTTGTTATATATGAAGTGTGATATGGGCGTCCATGTTTTCAGTCCCTACAGCACAAGCCGGCTAACGTTACACAAACACCAAACTGGGGCAGCGGAACCGAGCCTAGCAGAGGTAGCGGTGAAGAATACACTGATTCCCTTAATATTATTTTAATTTATCAGGTTATGTCCAAATGGATGTACTAATCTGTCCACATTATGGCTAATTACGGTGCAGAAGAGGCTTTTGCCAGCACACAAGTTCCGTTTGTAGCGCTACGTTTCCGTTACCTAATGAGCTAACTAAAAAACACGCTTAAATGTTATCATATCCCCCACAGTTATCATATCCCCCATATTACACTTAACTCTGGTGTAAAATCTTGAATCAGATAGACAGCTTGTTTACTATATGTGGATTCTCTCATATATAGAAGCTTTGGATCATGTTAGCTGTTCGCTCTCGTGCGCTGAAAACGTGGCAGAAATGAAACCCCGCGGAATGTGAGGCTGGCGTGAGAGATGGAGGAAAAACGCGACGCATAGACCGTGTTTCTCAGTGTGCTGTGCTCTTCTGTGTTTTTAGGTATGTCGGGAACCTCTCCAGGGACGTTACGGAGGCCCTCATCCTGCAAGTGTTCTCCCAGATCGGCCCATGCAAGAACTGTAAAATGATCATTGATGTGAGTTGGGAAAAAAACCCATCTGAAATCCAGGGATTGTTCTGTAATGGAAACCCGGGGACTATTTTTTAAAGTGGCGTTTTTCAGTCCTGGAAAAGTCATGGAAGTTGGTAGAATCTCAAACGCCATAGAAATTTCTGTACTTTAATATATATTTCTAGCTATGTTCAGGTCTAGTTATTGCTCTTGTGTAGAGTAACATTTTCTTGCAATTAGTAATGTGCAGTTTGATCAAATTGTCATTTCAGTTAACAAAATGGTCTATGATCTAAATGATTCTGTAAAAAAAAAATCTTGTCCACTACTCACAAATGACTTTGAAAGGTCATGGAAAAATTCATTGATCAACAAGAGCGGGAACCCTGGACACCCGTAACTTACCAAGATCAGTGTTTGACCCAGTTAATTTTGTGTTTTTCAGACGGCTGGAAATGACCCATACTGCTTTGTGGAGTTCTATGAGAACAGACATGCTGCTGCAGCTTTGGCTGCCATGAACGGCAGGAAGATCTTAGGAAAGGTAAAATACTGCAAACGCACCCTCAAAAGTAGATTGGATATGGTTTGAAATTAAGTTACACCCCTTATATGAGCTATGTTAATGCGATGACGTGCTGAATATCTTTAGTTAGCGCCTTTATAGTGTGTTTACAGGTAAGTTGCTTTTAACCTGTGCATCAAATCTTTCTTTTAAATCCCTTTATCTCATCAATCATTTACAACATACAAGTCAATGTATATTGACCAAGGATTTACTCTATTTATGCTGTTTAAAGATTTTATTATTGTTTTATCTTTGGCATATTGCTGCTTTTACAGCTTGGAAAAAAGTAAGCTGCTGCAATATGACAATGCACAGTAAACAAGTCAAAAATAGACAGGGTTCATTGCACATGTTCATAGTGTTAGCTTATGGCTTTAACATGGTAATATTTAAATATAGCTGAGAATACTACAGTTGTATTGGTAGTTTCAAACATAATCGAATAAGCAAAAATATTTATCCAGAAAGTCCTTGCAACACAACAGAATCCTTTATTGGTCTATTGGGGTGCCTAATTACTTTGTCGTTTTTCAAATTCCACAAAGCATGTGGTGGTGTTCTTTTTTTTTTTCTTCTCTTCTTCAGTCATTTTTTGGGTACAAAATGAATACCCCCATGTATGTCAACATCTAACTTTGCTTTATCATCGTCTACACCTGTACCAGGCCTTCAAATTTAGCAAAGCCATGTCAAAAATATATTCAGTGCAAATATTTTATCCTCAACAGGTAAAGAAGGACCATTTGAGGAGTAATACAAGTTGATAATGTCACTTCTTTGTAAGTCTGCTATTTAGACTCTTTACTATGTAGAAAATAATTCCAGAGTTTTTTAATAGTCCCTTTTTCTTTGAACCTGAGTGATCACCAGGGTTTTTATTTTGTTGTCATCTTATTTCTTCTGCGTTTGGAGGCTCGCCATATTATGCGGCTAAGTAAGATGAAGATGATGTTTTATGCTGGTGCTTGTCTTAATCTGTCAGTCTCTGCTTTGCTTCCTCTCTTAGGATATGAAAGTTAACTGGGCCTCAATGCCGGGCAGTCAGAAGAAAGACACAAGCAGTAAGTGTCCTCTTGAATGTCGCTAATGGATGCATGTGCATGTTTGTTATATTGGCATATATAAGAGCCTGTGCGGTCAAACTGTAAAGCATGAATAGTTTTTCTCTTTTGCTTGATGGTTTATGAAATATCTAACTGTTTCTCCTCAAACCATTATTGTAGATCATTTCCACGTCTTTGTCGGTGACCTGAGCCCAGAAATCTCAACAGATGATGTCAGAGCAGCCTTTGCTCCATTTGGAAAGTTATCGTAAGTGGAATATTGTGTAATTCAAGTGCGATTTAAGCCTCATCTGAGCTGGATTGTCTTAACATTTGGATTCTTACTGAGTTCATGTGTTTGGTGCAGTGACGCCCGTGTGGTGAAGGATCTGGCCACAGGCAAATCTAAAGGATACGGTTTCATCTCCTTTATTAATAAATGGGTAAGAGTTTGCATGTTATTTGGTGTTAAGTGCCATGATGGCAATGTTATACTCTGTTGCAGCAGGATAACACAAATGTACATTTTTGTGTCTTTAAGGCTTTTTTGTTATTGATCAGTTTGATTGGTTTTGTTGCAACTGATAGGATGCAGAAGGTGCTATTCAGCAAATGAATGGTCAGTGGCTGGGAGGCAGACAGATCAGAACAAACTGGGCCACAAGGAAGCCATCAGCTCCTAAATCAAATAATGAAGGCAAGTCCGTTTAAACTGTATAATTTGACAGTTCCTTTGGTCTCTCATTTCTTGTCTTTTATGCAGTCAAGGTTTTTTTTATTATGTGAACCACCTGTTATGTTACTGGGTAGTTTTTCTTATTATTCATGTGTCATTTATTTGTGTTCTACTACTCTAAAATGTTCTCTCTTTTTGATCTATAGCAACCAGCAGCAAACACTTGTCCTATGAGGAGGTCCTGAACCAGTCGAGTCCTAGTAACTGCACCGTCTATTGTGGTGGCATTGCTTCTGGCCTGTCAGGTTTGTCGAAATATTGTAATTGTGCATGTGTTGTGAAAAGAATGTGATCTTTTAAGACATAGTCGATTTTTAAAAAGGATTTGCATCCTGTCAGTAAATGAATAAATGTCATTCAATTAAAAGGCTTTCAAGCAGAGCTAGATGAAATGTGTTTTGAAAGATTCATATTTTATATGATGTTTGAATGTGTTTTTCTCATCCACTGTAGATCAGCTGATGAGACAGACTTTCTCTCCGTTCGGGCAGATAATGGAGATCAGGGTTTTCCCGGAGAAAGGCTACTCATTTGTGAGGTATGTCATACTTTTTCTCTATGACTTTAAATCATTCACCTATGCATATACTTGAAAATTTAGCATGCTTTTTTTTAGGTTCGACTCTCATGAGGGTGCTGCCCATGCCATAGTGTCAGTAAATGGGACCTGCATCGAGGGCCACATTGTGAAGTGCTACTGGGGCAAAGAAACAGCTGATATAAGATCCATGCAACAGATGCAAATGCCCCAGGTACCCCTTAACCTTGTTCTTGACCTCTCAGAAACATTTCCTCTGCCCTATTGCAAACTCAAGTCTTACTGTTTCTCCTTTTCCACAACAGAATAAACCCACCTATGCGGCCCAACCTTACGGACAGTGGGGTCAGTCATACGGCAACGGTCAGCAGATGGGTCAGTATATGCCCAACGGCTGGCAGATGCCCACTTACGGCGTCTATGGTCAGGCCTGGAATCAGCAGGGATATAAATAAGTACAGATGTGGCTGACTAATCCCTCAGTCCAATCATTAAACCCCACTTCAGTGTGGAATCTGCCCAATGGGACTCACCATTACACCAGTTCAGGGGTTGTTGAAAGGGCTGCATTCAGCCCACTGTACATTATACTCAGTCCATTAACTTGGAAGGAATCCTGTCTTTTGTCTTTTTTGTTTTGTTTTTAGGCCCCAGGATTTTTTTGTTGTCAAATTTTCTTTTAAAAAGTACTGCATTTCGGGGGCTTTAATTGTCTAGTTTTGCAACAGATGGAATGTCTTTTCAATGTGTTGAATTTGCAGGCTCAATTTAGCTCACACCTCGAACGGTGTAGAAAGTTTGAGGTCTAATATACTGCACTCTTTGTACAGAGTTCTTGTCTCTAAAACTGATTTGTTCACAAATATTTTTCACTTTTGTTTTGTCAGTACATTTTATTTAAAGTATAAGAAAGTTTTCAAAAATTGAGATGCGTTAATCGAATATAAAATATTTTATCTCGTGACACCTAGTGATAAAGGTATTCTGCATTTATAGAGGCGATTATTCTGTGGCCTTGAGGTTTCAGGAACTTGATGAAGTTTTGGACAATTACTAAAGCTTTTAACAAGTTGTATTAACACAAAGGTGCAGAAAACATGCTTCCTTTTTTGTTCAATTTAAACGTTAGACTATTCATTTTGTAACATGGAATTGTTGGCTCAATTTTTAAAACTTTTTTTTTTCTTTCATCTTTTTACAAAATCATGTTTGCTCGGATCATTTGAGGGTGTGACAGCACAGCGGCTAATCAGCGTTAATGGCAGTGCTGCAGCCTCTTTGTAAAGATTTTTGTAATTCTGTGTAAAATGAGGTTGTGAATTATTTCTTTAAATCTTGTAAATTCAGGGTTTGTTGAACATCTGTAATATAATGATGCATGGACATTCTGAGCTCAATTCTTCTTACAATCTCTTGTAAAACCCATAAAAACGTGTTCATTAGAGTTACTGTGATGCGATCTTTCAGTGTTCCTCCAGTACTTCTTCCTCAAGAGTCACTGTTGAATTTACAAGCCAAAGACAGACAAAAACTAAGCAAGCTCTTGCATGCTTCCACCTTGCTGTGTTGAGATGCTGATTGTAATGTCAGTGTTTGGTGTAATATGGAAAGGTAAAGAAATGCGAGATACTCCTGGGTTTCAGCCACACGCTCTCGAATTGCTCACAAGGCCAGATTCTTTACCGGACACTGGTGTTTTTTCTCTTACCATCATTCTCTTTCTTTTTACTTACTGGGCCCCAACACTGAGTCATAAGGTAGATCAAATTGAAAGTAATGAGTAACTGTCTTTTTTCCCCCTCTTTTTTCTTCTGTGTCATGTAAATTTATCAACATAGTTATTTAATGTATCTTTTTCTATCTAACTGGGATTTTTTTTTTTTTTTTTTGTGGAAAAAGCTAGAGAGGTTTACTGTTATTTTGAAACACCCCGATTATATGCTTCCATCTAATGTTGTTCCAGTTACTATATTCCATGTGTAAAAACACTTAATAATAACCATTCAAAACTGCTTTCGGTTGTCTTGAGTGTCAATGAAAGAGTATTTACCAGTAATTCATGATGCTTTGTGGTGAAAGATGAGTTATGAAAGAGTGGGGTAAGATGTGTTTCTTTCTGCTATGGTCATTTAGTCAATATATATTTATACAGAATACATAATTTTGATCATAGGCGGAGCGTGTGTAAGGCTTAGCCTTCCCCTGGCCATGGGGTCTTGGGGCAAAAATGTCACTAAATTGGACCAAAATGCCCCTGCACAAACAAATTAAATCTATTACATCTGTTGCTAACAAAGTGTAAATGAATAAAAAGTGTCGACTGCGCATTAAATTAAGATCTGGGGGTCACAAGATGAATGTTTATACAAAATTTGATATCCCAATAACATTAATTTATATTCCTTTTTAACATTTTAAAACATTGAATGTCTGATTGTTAAAAAGATTTTCTTTTATTAAACTGAAAAATAAGATTCAACTTCATATTTAATATATACAAAATATAATAATCCACTTTGTTAAAAGCACATTTTTAATACTGAAGTATTCTGTCAGCCTGGAGTGCTTTGGTTGACACTTTGCTCTCAATAAAGACCACACAAAATGGCAATTTTAGATTTGTAGCAATAAAAGAACTTACCTCGTTTTCCTGTAAGGCTTAGGAAGTAGGAGAACTGTTGATGAACTGCCGCAGTTTCTCACTGTGTCATGGACTTAAGTAGTGTTGCCTACATATCCAATTTCATTTCTTTTCATTCTCCTGCAATGAAGGGTGCAAATACAGAAGTTTATCTAACTGTACTTATAAGATTTTTTTTAGCAATAATTACAGAGCACATGTGCACCAGCAGTTCAGTGCTGGTGCTTAGTGATGCTAGCTCATGCTAGGATGCTAATGTTTTACTTTGGAAAATACTTCACATGGGATCAAATGGAAGTGAAATCTGTCTACACAGCATCAGATGAAAGGACAGACTTATGCATTATTCAACACCATTTTGTAGTATGGGTAAATAAAGTGGGTAGTTGCAGTTTAAAGAATATAGTTTCTGTAATATAAGTCATTTTTTAAACCCTCCCTCCCTTTTTATAACTTACAGTAAATTATGCTCTTAGTGTAATACGTCCATTTTTTATGCACAAGCTGTTACACCAAAATTGGCCACTAGATGGAAATCTCACCCAACACTCTGATGGTGTCATCCAATATATTCTTGAATTTCTCAGCATGAAAACACATTCAATGGGCAAGAGCATCATGGGAAGAAAAAAAAGAAACAAACACAATCAATATTTCCTCAATTATGTTGTGAACAAAATATACTGTGCAATAGAGATTCATTATTTGTTCACAGCCTCCATCGCAAGTCAGTTTGTTCTACAGAAGGCCCTGTCTTCCTCCAATCATATTTTTGAATAGTTTGAGGTCAGAAAGAATGTAATAAGATTTGAATATCATGTATATGTTTGATAAGGTAGTTAGTGAGATGGGGCCAGTGAATGACTAGGCGAGACAACGAGGTGTCTTTGCTTTGAAACATCATTTGTCAGTCTGTCAGTGTGATTCAGTAGAATGTATGTGTTGCTAAGAACAAGGTGTCTTTAGTGCAAGCCATCATTAGTTAGTGTGTCAGAGCAGTGGTGTGGAATAGAGGGCTGGATTGACAGTCTGATAAATGAGGGCAGCTCCTCTCTCAACAGCACTGCTAAAAACAGACAGCGAGAGAGAGAGAAAAATGTCAGCAGATGAGTTACTGAGCAGATCAGAACTGACATAAATCAAATCTGTCCATGACTTGCTCCATCTTCTCTCTCTCTCTCGCTCTCTAACATCAGCTCTAAAATGCTCAATACATCATACCAGTCAAAAGTGAGAAAATTTGTACGAGAGATCTTGACTGATCTCTTGTACTATCCAGGTAAATGAGCTGAATTCTGTGTACAACGGATCTTAATTGCTGGATTCAGAGAGTGCGTCTGTGTGTGATTTGTGCTTCACACACACACAAAATAAAACATTATTTTTACTTTTTATTCCAAAATTGGGGGGATGTTGATGTTAGAGAGTATGAATCAGCCCTGCATAACAAAAGATGATGTTCTCAAACACATGTAAATTATCAGAATGAGGCATACCATAGACATTTATTATTTATTACAGATAATAATAATTCAAGAAAAATAATTACAACAATTAAATATTGTTAGTTATTTAATAAATATTAAATATTTCAATATTTATTAATTCATTATATAATTTATTTATATTTCATTCTTATAAATAAGGACATCTTCAAATTAAGGTTTTATCTGATCAGTACGACTACGTACACCTAAAGACACACACACTTTTTTAGGCAAGAAAGCTCATTTAAATACATCTTGTTAAACATAAAACTGAATGTAAAGACGTGTTTTGATTTTGATAAGAGATAGTTAATTATTAAAAATCCATATAAATAAATTCTCCTTATCTGCCCATTCCAACAAACACTTGTGGTTCATGCACTTATGCATGACATGTGGTCTTCTCCTGTTGTAATCTGACAATGTCAACTATTTTAATTCTGTTTTAGTTTTGTGTAAGAACCATTCCTCCAACACTCCAGATGTATAAATGGAAAATGATATGAGTGAGCAGATTAAAGAGAGAGAGATGAAGAGGCTATTGTATGTGTTACTGCTGTCCAGGAGGTTCCTCTCCATGTAGCCGTGTGTTTGAAGACTGTATCTGCACGTGTGTGACAGCTCACAGCAGAGGCTGACACAAAATAAACATGTTACAGTAATTAACCTTGACAGGCTCAATGCGGCTTCCAGCAGCAACTTACTACTAATGATACAATTAATTTATAATTAAGGCACACTGTATAACCAGAAACAGAGAGAGAAAAAGTGTGAACTCTTTTATACTTGAAAATAGCCCCTCTCATTCATAGACTAGAGTCACACAGTCAGCATTTGGATGGCCGTATTTACAAATTTTTCTCATTTCCGCTCAAATAGCACTGTACATATCACAGCAGACAGATGTGGATTGAACAAGTTACCTCATGCAAACGCTTGTTAATGACTTGACACACTAGTTGTGTTTCTGTTCTTATAGCACATATCAACTAAACTCACTTTCAAAATGCAGCCAACAGTGACTTTGGCTCTTTTATAACTAGACAGAGTGGTTGACTGCTGGTAGATGACATAACTACACTATCTGTTTCCCAAATGTATTTCTCTCCAATGATTACCATTCAAAATTCTGACAAAATAAATGGATGTCACATTGACTATAGAGAAAAGGTTGATGTCTACTTTTGTGTTTGTGTTTTTTTCTTCATATCATGTTATTTTGCACTATTTTCATTTTATTAAAAAAAAGTTGATTCTCTACCTTTGTGTTTTTTCATATCATGTTATTTTGCACTATTTTCGTTTTATACTCAGTCTATCATCTGATACCTGCGTTTTGGAGGGCCCTCTGCTGGTGAAACAAGGCATTACATTGGACTGTAGGTTGTATTGACTATTGAAGGCCATTTGTGGCATGTGCCGTGTTTACTGTCAAATGCTATTGCACTATTAAGGCCATTTTTAAGAGCCTGTGAGTCAAAGAATACAAAAAGCACTTTCCTCTGACCCTTCACAGAACTCAAAACTTCAACCCATAAATTCCACCTCGCTCACGTTCAGTTCACAAACGAGTTTTTGACTAAGGCCAAGCACACTGTTCATCATATCTGTTTTATACATGTAATATTTATTGTGCAGCATAAGGATTCATTAGTAGTCTTCAGAGAAGACAGTTTTATCATACCATATGGCCCTGTCTGTAGAACACACGCATTCCATCTGTAGGATGCCTGTGAAACACACACACACACACGCGCACGCGCACACTTGTTGTGTATTCATCACGTTATGGGGACATTCCATAGGCGTAATGGTTTTTATACTGTACAAACTGTATGTGCTACTGCCCTACACCAACCCTACCCCTAAACCTACCCCTCACAGGAAACTTTGTGCAATTTTACTTTCTCAAAAAAACCGCACACACACACACACACACACACACACACACACATTCAGCGTCAGGTTAACACAAACCTTTACTATCTCAGCCCAGCACTGTCTTTTTATTTATGTTGATAAATATGACATTTGCATCAGAATTGCTGTATTAGCATCTATGAGGACAAATACAC